TCTATATATATATGAATATATACATGTATTTATGAGTGTGCGGATGTCAGTGTGTATGTGTGTGCAAAATCGTCCCCAAAATTCGAAGAGACATTGATGAGGAAAAAGAAGACTCTCTAAGACTTCCATTTACACGTGTCTGCGACTCCTCTCAGCTTTTAATTCCCCGTCCTTGCCTCTCTCTTCTCTTGGCTTTTCTTCTTTGCTCTCCCTTCCTCGTATCCTTGGTTTTGTGTTTGTGCTTTTTCTTGGTTCTGTTTTTTTTCCTTCTCTGTTTTTTGGATTGGATTTTCTTATTTTCTCTTTCTTTCTTTCTCTCTCTCTCTTTATTTAATTTTCTTTTTCTCTCTCAGTTTGATTCACTTCCTTTCTTTCTCATTCACCCTCTCTCGATGTTTCCTTTTTTTGTCATTCTGTTCTCTCTCTCTCTCTCTTTCTCCTCTTTCTCTGTGTCTATTTCTATCTCTCTCTCCTTTCTCTCTGTCTGCCAGTCTCTCTCTCTCTTGTCTTCTTCACTGTCTGTTTCTCTTTCTTCCATCTTCTCTATCTGTATCTTTCTCTTTCTCTCCTTTTTCTTCTCTGGATTTTCCTCCATTTCTCTTTCTGTATCTCTCTTTTTCTCTTTCTGTGTGTCTTTCTCTAATTTTCTCATACCCTCTCTACTCCCTCCCTTCCTCATTCTTTCCCTCTCCCCACTCTCACTCCCCCCAACCTCTCCCTCTCTCACATACACACACTAATGTCCCTAATCTCTATATCCACAACATTAGCATACGAAACTCCTGTATATTCAAACTGTATAATACTGGCGGTGCATGACACTTATTATATTATATTATTATCATTATATTATTATTACATTCAGTGTTATATTATCAGTATTATTTGTAGCACTACAGATAATGAAGAACGACACACATACAACCGCGCGCGCTCTTTTTTTATTAATGTCATTATTGTTATTATTATTATCATTATTAACATTATCATTCTTATATCACTAATATTACCATTATCACTATTATTAATATTATTAATATTATCATTATTATCACTATTATTATAATTATTATTAATATTATCATTATCAGTATCATTATTATTATCATTATCATTAACATTAATATTATCATTATCATCATCATCACCATCATTTCATTATTTGCATCCTTTTTCACCATCGAGGCAGGTACTTTAATAGGTAGACCGTCAGTTTATGGACAGTTATAGGTTAGGGGTTTAGGCCTGAAGGAGGTAAGGAAGGATGAGAAGAACAGGGGTGAGGGAGAAAGGGAGGAGACCGGGGTTGTTAGGAGAGAAAAGAGAGAAAGGGAGAGGGAGAGATAGAGGAAAAGGGAAAGGGGAAGCGAAAGGTAGGAGGGTAAAAGAGGGAGAGAATACCTTTTATTCTTATCAATTAGTTTATTTATCTATTTTGTATTATTACTATTAGTAGTATTGTTACTATTATTATCATTATTTTTACTATTATCATATATATTCTGTTTCGAGGAATTTCCGCAGGTACAGCTAGTCATTGTTATTATCTTTCTCAATATCTTCAATATTACCATAATTTTATTGTTATTATTATCATTATTCTTATTAGCACCGAGAAAGAGAAAGGGGGCGGGAGCAAAAATATGAAAAAAAGGAAGGTGAGAGAATTAAAAAATGACAAAGATAGAAGTTAAGGGAAAAGAAGAGAAGAGAAGGAAAGAGGAGTGAAGAGAGGAGCGAAACGAAGAGAGGAAAGAAGAGAAGAGAAGGGAGAAGAAGACAGAAGAGGAAGGACATGAAAGGGAAGAAGGAAAGGGAAATTGAGCGGAAGAGGAAAAGGAAGGGAAAGAGGGGTGGGAGTGGGTACTTGTTGCTCTCTCATATCTCCTCGCTCCGAGTCTCTCTTGCTCTCTCTACTTTCCTCTATCTCTCTTCCCATTTAATTTTTCCTCCTTCCCCCCTCTCTCTCTCCCTCACTCCCTCTCTCTATCTCTTTTTCTCCCTCCCCATCCTCTCTCTCCTTCTCACTCCCTCCCTCTCCCTCTCCTCCACCTTTTTTCCTCTCTCACTCCCTCTCTCCCCCTCATCCACCTTTTTTTCTCTCTCTCACTCCCTCTCTCCCCCTCATCCACCTTTTTTTCTCTCTCTCACTCCCTCTCTCCCTCTCATCCACCTTTTTTTCTCTCTCTCACTCCCTCTCTCTCTGTCGCCATTTCTGTTTTCTTACCTCTCTTTTCCCCAGGTTCCTGAGTTAGATGGAAAATGCATTTTTACCTCCACTGGCAAAGGGTTTAATCAAATCTAAAAAAAAAAAAAAAAAAAAAAAAAAAAAAAAAAAAAAAAAAAAAAAAAAAAAAAAAAAAAAAAAAAAAAAAAAAAAAAAAAAAAAAAAAAAAAAAAAAAAAAAAAAAAAAAAAAAAAAAAAAAAAAAAAAAAAAAAAAAAAAAAAAAAAAAAAAAAAAAAAAAAAAAAAAAAAAAAAAAAAAAAAAAAAAAAAAAAAAAAAAAAAAAAAAAAAAAAAAAAAAAAAAAAAAAAAAAAAAAAAAAAAAAAAAAAAAAAAAAAAAAAAAAAAAAAAAAAAAAAAAAAAAAAAAAAAAAAAAAAAAAAAAAAAAAAAAAAAAAAAAAAAAAAAAAAAAAAAAAAAAAAAAAAAAAAAAAAAAAAAAAAAAAAAAAAAAAAAAAAAAAAAAAAAAAAAAAAAAAAAAAAAAAAAAAAAAAAAAAAAAAAAAAAAAAAAAAAAAAAAAAAAAAAAAAAAAAAAAAAAAAAAAAAAAAAAAAAAAAAAAAAAAAAAAAAAAAAAAAAAAAAAAAAAAAAAAAAAAAAAAAAAAAAAAAAAAAAAAAAAAAAAAAAAAAAAAAAAAAAAAAAAAAAAAAAAAAAAAAAAAAAAAAAAAAAAAAAAAAAAAAAAAAAAAAAAAAAAAAAAAAAAAAAAAAAAAAAAAAAAAAAAAAAAAAAAAAAAAAAAAAAAAAAAAAAAAAAAAAAAAAAAAAAAAAAAAAAAAAAAAAAAAAAAAAAAAAAAAAAAAAAAAAAAAAAAAAAAAAAAAAAAAAAAAAAAAAAAAAAAAAAAAAAAAAAAAAAAAAAAAAAAAAAAAAAAAAAAAAAAAAAAAAAAAAAAAAAAAAAAAAAAAAAAAAAAAAAAAAAAAAAAAAAAAAAAAAAAAAAAAAAAAAAAAAAAAAAAAAAAAAAAAAAAAAAAAAAAAAAAAAAAAAAAAAAAAAAAAAAAAAAAAAAAAAAAAAAAAAAAAAAAAAAAAAAAAAAAAAAAAAAAAAAAAAAAAAAAAAAAAAAAAAAAAAAAAAAAAAAAAAAAAAAAAAAAAAAAAAAAAAAAAAAAAAAAAAAAAAAAAAAAAAAAAAAAAAAAAAAAAAAAAAAAAAAAAAAAAAAAAAAAAAAAAAAAAAAAAAAAAAAAAAAAAAAAAAAAAAAAAAAAAAAAAAAAAAAAAAAAAAAAAAAAAAAAAAAAAAAAAAAAAAAAAAAAAAAAAAAAAAAAAAAAAAAAAAAAAAAAAAAAAAAAAAAAAAAAAAAAAAAAAAAAAAAAAAAAAAAAAAAAAAAAAAAAAAAAAAAAAAAAAAAAAAAAAAAAAAAAAAAAAAAAAAAAAAAAAAAAAAAAAAAAAAAAAAAAAAAAAAAAAAAAAAAAAAAAAAAAAAAAAAAAAAAAAAAAAAAAAAAAAAAAAAAAAAAAAAAAAAAAAAAAAAAAAAAAAAAAAAAAAAAAAAAAAAAAAAAAAAAAAAAAAAAAAAAAAAAAAAAAAAAAAAAAAAAAAAAAAAAAAAAAAAAAAAAAAAAAAAAAAAAAAAAAAAAAAATGTAATCAAATCTGATACCAAGCGAGGAATTCTACGACTGGAGCAATATCGACAATAATTCATAGATTTTATCACTTTTTTCCAGTCCATTTTCTTTGTTTTCGTCTTGTATTTATTCCCATATTTTTGTTTTCTTTGGATCTTTAACTGTATATAAAAAAAATCTACTTTTTTGTGTGTGTTCTTTTTCACCCTTCATCTTTTCCATCTTCGTTTCATTTCTTCCAATTTCCTCTCCATATTCCTTTCCATATTTTTCTTTGCGTCTGAACGCAGATCTATGGAAGAAAATTGTCTTCCAATTAGTCAGTTTATGATTTGTGGGTTGGTGAAGGGCCTGGTTCAGTGTGTGGACGTTCGTTAGGTTGAAATTGGCAAGCTTCAGGAGAGAGGGATCGTCCTTATCGCTTTGACTTGCGACGCTTGCTTCTTACTTTACACTCTTCTTTCATTCCCTTTCCTTTTATTTCTTTTATTTTCAACCTTCCCTCACTTCCTTCTTTACCCTCACCCCCCCCCCCTTCTCTTTTTTTTTTTCTCTTCATCTGCCTTTCTTTCGGCTCCTCCCCTCTCACATGTCTTTCTTCCTTCACTCTCACTCCTATTTCTTCCCTTCCTTCCCCATCTTCCTTCTCTATCAGTCCTTCTCACCTTTTCCCTCTGTCCAGTATTGCCATCTAAAAATGTTCAATCCCGCTAGATTCACCTTAAAAAAATCGCTAGACAAGGACCCAAAATTGATAGAATTTAAGTGCTACATTTAAGATAATGATGATGATAATAATAATAATAATAATAATAATAATAATAATAATAATAATAGTAATAATAATGATAATAATATTGATAAGATAATTTTTTTTTTTTTTAACAAACCAGACAAATTATATAAGATTTCCTATACCTATTACATAATCCGCAAGTCTGATGAATCACCGTCATCTTCCTGGAGGGAAACAGTAGGTATTGGTGACTGCATTTTCTCGACTGTTTCTGATGTACCAATCATCTTGCAACATTGGGTGGTATTCCATAATTGAAGCTCGATTTTTCGCTTCTTCTTAATCCTGCTCATACTGCCTTAATTGCATTGGCGATTTTAGTTTCCATTCTGTTTCGAAGTTTACTTTTCACAATATTTAACTGGCTATATATGTTTGTTGCTCTGCCTCCGCATTTGAGCGCTAAAGTAAGTACCGACATCACAAATGTTGAATGGATTGCAGTCAGATACATCTCTATGGCTACCGACTTCGGCCATGGTAACTAAATTCCATTTTACCAATGTCAGTTTCTTCCACTGGTTTCCAATGATGTCACTATCACATGGGGGACTTTCAGCAGTTCCAACAAGAGAGTTAGTGGCTCTTTTATGCAATGAAGTGCATTTTAGGCAGAAAGCAAGGGAATTTTCAGAAGAATCTTTACGTTATTGGGCAACCTGCGACACATTTAGTACACTAACTGTATGCACCTACTCCCCAATGTATTTTGTATCTAGTTTCCTTTCGAACTGATATCCCAAGTATGGTTTGGGATCAAGGTAATCCTCAATCTTACCAATTTTTTTTTCCACTAGCTGGAAAATCTGATAGCAATAGCGGAGTTCATGAACGCTTAATCTGGCGAGAATATAGCTAGCAACACTCTCTCTCCAATCAAGTAATAAGTGTACTTATTTTATGTACACATAAACTATCTCCAATCACTTTCGTTATAAATAGATGTTGATAATTATGCCTTAGTTGTGTACAAGGGATTTTGTGGGAACTAAGGATAAGTCCGATATGCGAAGCTGAGCCTCGCCTGTGCTATGCCCATGAGGGGAGCCCGGCCTGTGTCGACTAATGCCGACTCGCAAACGTGTGCCAGCTGGTGTGGACTCCGGCTAAGCTTAGTTTCTACCCGCCGTGGTGCCCAGCCACAGTGGTAACCTCCAGGCAACAAATGCAACTTCTCGCGCCTGGGCGGGGCGCGAACCACCGACCCCTCGAATTATAGTCTGACATGTTATTGTTGTATTAATTCGGAGGTTAATTCACTCCTCTCCCGGCAGCCGAAGCAGCAAGAACTCTCCCCTTGAAGGCACCAGCAACACATACATAAGACCGGTGCCGACACGGTTACAAGTGGATGACGACTGCAAGTTTCGACCGCGGTGAGACGAGTCACCCAGACACATCCCCTCTCTGCAGGATGGGATGCTTCTTTTCTACTGTTTTCCCGGTGGCCGAAGTGGCCCCACCCCCTCTTTTGAAGGCACCACCAACACTGAATACGACCGGTGCGACCACGGTTACAAGAGGATAGACAGCATGCTATGGCTAGGGGGAGACATGGATCCAGTCGCGCCCCCTCTGCAAAGATGGGATGACACTTCCCGCAACACCACCGTTCTGCGCAAAGTGGGTAACCATTATGCCCACTGCTTCGATCACGGACGCATCCCCTATCTGTAAGATGGGATGCTTCTTTTCCACTGTTTTCCCGGCGGCTGGAGCGGCCCCACCTCTCCTCTTGAAGGCACCACAACCCATTTTACTATGACCGGTGCCGACACGGTTACAAGAGGATAGACAGCAAGCTTCGGCTAAGGGGAGACGTGGAATCAGTCGCGTCCTCTCTCTGCAAGATGGGATGCCACCTACGCCCGAAGTAACACCACCTCTCCTTTAGAAGGCACCAACACTGAATACGACCGGTGCCGCCACTGTTACAAGATGACCGCAACACCACCGATCCATACAAAATGGGTAAACATAATGCCCACTGACTTGACTACAGACACATTCCCTCTCTGCAAGATGGGATGGCCCTTTACAAAAATAGAAACTCAACTTGCGGGTAGCTACTAGCAGCCAAAACCGTCCCTTTCAAATAATTTGGTATTTTTCGAATTTCAATATATTTTAATCTACTGATGACTTTAGCTTTCATATTTTAGTAATGGTTAAAAGAAATTATTAAGATTTGTAATAAAATAATTTATATCACATTACAATAATATTACGATTTATAGATTTAATTTCCAGCGTTTTTCGTTTTTTTTCAGATATGTTTATTCTAAGTTTACTTACTTATTTTCTTTCCTTTTTTTCTCATTTGTTCTTCCAAGTTATTCTTTTTTATTTTTTCATGGTTTCTTATTTTTACCATAGCTAGCTTTAAGTTAGCAAAAAAAAAAAAAATGTAGTCTTTTCTCCACGTTATTTCTTACTGTTCTTATTCTTCTTATTATTCAGCGAAGGTCTTTGGGGGTAACTTGTCTTCCAATTAATCAGTTTATTTGCGGGTCGGTGAAGGGCATGAGGTATATTGGACGTTCGATAGGCTGAAATTGGCATGTTGCGTGATAGAACGATCGCCCTTATCGCTGGTATTCTTTGAGGACTTTCATCTCTCCGTCTTTCCTTTTTTTATCTGTCTTTATGTATTTTTCTTCATTTCGAGTCCTTCCCTCTCATTATTCCTTCTCTGCATGACCTTTATGTTTGTTTTTTGCAAACGCATTTTTAGTTTTAAGTAACAATTCCACATTATCCAATTTTGAAATAGTTTTATATGTATAATATCCGTATGTACTGAGGACTTGAGTTCTTACTTTTAGTAACGAATTGGAAAAATTATCATTGATATCTGTAATACAATAACTAACATCATAATAATTGATTATCATTATGACACTTACGTTTTTCAATCGCGCAACAGTTAATAATAGATAAAATGTTTGTGGAATTTATTTTGTTGTTTTATTATAGTAATTGTTATAGTTATTTTTTTCTACACTATTTATATTATCATTCATTTGAGCATCATTACCAATATTATCAGTTGTAATAATATAAGAAAATAGCAGTAATCTCCATTATAGTTTTTTATTTAATAATGCCATCTTAATTAGTGTAGATATTGTTCTGTTATCATTATTCTTGTAGTTATTTATCTGTATTGATTCGAAATATTACATGGCTAATTCCTTATAAATTCTTATCATTGTACAATTAGGATTTACTGAAGGATATAAAATTCTACCTCCTACTAGTTTTTTTTCTTGTTTTTCTTAATATTTGATGACTTATAAGTGGTAGTCTGGATTTTTTTATACTTATGAACACAAAAGCTAGAAATTGGTGTAATGATTTACATACGGGATGAATGATTGGATCAATTGATATCATACACAGATAATCATGTAAAAATCGATATGTCATATAATGTGTAAATATTTGATTAGGTGTCATTAATAATTAATAATTAACTCTTAGTTCTAGTACTTGTCATTAGTTGATACAAATAACACCGTTTTTTCCCCTCAGTATCAATATGTTGATTTCTGTTCAAATATTCATACCTCCACATAAAATAATGATAATTAGTAGAAATTAGATTATAATAAAACATTACGGCAATTTTCTTCCTCTTTTTCCACTTCCCCTTTCGTTTTCTTACATCTCTTTTTTTCCCCCAGCTCCACGTCTTAGATGGAAAATACATTTTTACTTTCACTGGAAAAGGGGTTTAATCAAATTTGATACCAAGGGAGGAATTCTGCGACTGGAGAAATGTCAATATCTCTTCGTTGATTTTATTTTCAACCTTTTTTTTATGTTTTCCTTTGTCCTAAGTTATTCCTTCTATTTTTGTCCTTGTTTCATAGGTATCATTTATGGGGCATGAGAAGGAAGAATTATTTTTTTTTTCCTCGTTCCTATTCTCCCAATATCCTTTTCTTTCTTTCTTTCATTTTTTTGTCATTACCCCAGCGACGTTCTATTAATGTTTATGATTTGTGGGTTGGTGAAGGACCCGAGTTGTTCGTTAGGTTGAAATTGGTATGCTGCGTGATAAAGGGATCTCCCCTATGGCTAGTGTCCTTTGTGGCTTTTGTTAGCAAGTTCACACTCTTTTCTCTTTTCCTTTTCTGTGTTTCTTTTTATTTTTCTTCCCTTACTTCCCTTTGCTCGCATCTCTGTTCTCCCTTCACCTATCCTTCTATATTTCTTCGGTTCCTATCCTCTTCCCCGCCTTCCTTCCTTCATTCTTTTCTTTCCCTTGACACCCTTTCCCTCTCCCTTTTCGTCTAGCAATCTCTATCCCCTGCGTCTCTGTCTGCCCCTGTTTCTCCCTCCACTTTCCCTCATTCTCATTTCTGTATATAAAAAAAGCCGATTGCGTCTCTGCCTGCCCCTATTTCTCCCTCCACTTTTCCTCATTCTTATTTCTGTATATAAAAAAGCTGATTTTAAACATATTTTGCACAAAATTGATAATTAATATATCAACCACATACACAATAGTTTATTTTTTTATTTATATCCAAACGTACTGAGGACCACAGTTTTCTTACCTTTAGTAAGAAGTATATTTATCAAAGATATTTATAATACAATCATTGACATCAAAATAGTACGAATTATGCTGACATTATTATTTTGGTGATTCTGTTGCCGTTATTTCTATTATTTTTATAGATTACCAACAGTATCATTCTTATGATTATTATCATTAGTAGTGTTGGTTGTACTATCATATTTATCATCTTTATTTATCCCCGCCATCATAATGACTTGTCTTTGTTTTCATTATTATTATTGGTGTAATTGTTATGTATTTGTACTCATTACAAGCCGTCTTTAGTAGAGTCTTAAACGCTGATTGGCTGAGGAATGCACTGCCAGGCATACGGCAACTTCATGTAAAATACAGCACGCTTAAGTATCACCAATAACATAGCAAGAGTTTTTCCCAATGTGTTATACTTCGTTTTTTTTATCTTTTCTTTCCCTCTTTTTTGTTTTTTGTTTGTTTGTAGTTATTCTTTCTTTTTTATTATTCGAACATTTATAGGGTATTAAAGAAAACAACCAATTATTGTTGTTGTTTTTCTCCTATGTTTTCCGTTCCTTTCTTCCAATTCTTTCTTTCTTTTTTATCTACCTCCAGCGAAGCTCCATGGGGGGGGGGGGGATTTGTCTTCCAATTAACGTTTATGATTTGTGAAGGACTCGAGACAGTGTGTTGGACATTCGTTAGCTTGAAATTGGCATGCTGCGTGGGAGAGGGATCGCCCTTATCGATGGCGTGTATTGTGGCTTTGATTAACAAAGCTTACTTCTTTCTCTACATTCTTCTCGCCTTCTTTTCCATCTTTATTTCTTTCCTCTTTCTTTTTTCCCTCACTTCCTTCTTTACCTTCTGCCTCAACTCTTTTTTCATCTCTTCTACCTTTCTTCAGCTACTCTCCTCCTCCCTGCTTTTTTT